CTTCGACAAAACATCTTTTATGTTGACTCCATCTAAGTTAACAGTTAGGCACAAAGAAAAGAAACAAAGACAGCACCAATGTTCTTGAGTAAAATATGAGATTATTGTAGCCACAACTCATTCACCAGATATAAAATAAATCCCAATTTATTTTACGTCAAGTTTTGAGGCGGTATCACCACGGATGTCGTCAATATACGGTTGGTCGTAAGCGACTTTTGGCTCTGGTCATGAGGGTCACTCATTTAGCACTAGGCTTCAAGATAGCCAACGTTGACATTATTCTGAGGCCGGTTATCACAAGCTCAACTCATTTCCGACATTTCCTTGTTTTAATTAACTTCCGGTGTCTGCTGTGCCTACCTTACGCGATCGATACCACCACCAAAAACTGAAAAATATTTTCTAACATCAGAAGTCACAGTATATTAAGCTGCGAACCTTTCACCAGTTACTTCCTGTGTGCTGTTTTTGAAGTGACTCTGAGGATAGATTTCTTCAGATATCCACTGTCTGCAATAACTGATTGCCTATTAAGAAGCAGCATTTTGAAACTGCACCGCATATTTGGCGCAACTTCGGTTCTAACACCGCCGTTGCAGATGCCACAAGACGCGATATTGTCGTAAGTGACTCGTTGTGAATTGATCTGTACTTTAAGACGGCGGGTCAAACTGACGACAAAGGGTACAAATGATTGTTCTTTCTATGTTCTTGCGTACTTGGTTCCTGCCAATCAGGGCAAATAAATATAAAACACTATGCTATACATCAGCGGCAGCAACAAAACTCGGTGATGCACATTTTACGTCGTGATTTTCATGGGTATACCTTTCCACAACTGAACAAGTTGTCCGGCCTACAACTAACCACAAAATGACTCGTCAAAATTAAAAATCCCTCAATTGCAAAGCTAATTTCTCTGATCCATTCAAAAAACACATAATTTCCAAATTTGACAAACTCAAATATTGATGGATCGCAATTAATTTTGAATGAATTCATCCATCTGTTGAAGTACGTCAGGCATTCACTCACTAGCCAAAAGTCGTCCAAGTTCCCGAAATCATGGCTAACAACTGGTTTGGTGGTTTTTTTGAAAACATGGAAGTGGACTATGGATGCCAAGCTACCATAACCAAGCACGGTTTATAGTTCAAATTTTTGATATTCACTCGTCACTTCATGGTGTTTTCATTCACAAATTTCAAATCATGGCTTTTTGCCTTGGTTGCTACTGCCTTGTGAAACATTTTCGCTGATGGTAAAAAGTCTTGCTGTGTTCTTGATGGATGAAAAGACTCGCTTAAGTTTTGATGTGCACAGAAAACACTGTTTGGGATGTCCGCATAGCTTAGTATAGTATGTCTCACCTACTGGTATCTCAAATCACAGTCCAGCCAGCTACAAAAAAAGGCCAACTCCGTTTACCTTCTATTGATGTTTGATTAAAATTCACTTGTGTTCATGCCACATCAGAGAATTTTGCAAAACAACACCACTCATCTGCAAAGTTATGACCCTGAAACAATTTTAGTTGACCATATTGAGTCAAACCTCGCTGAGCCCCAAGAGTCTGTCGGTTCTCAGTCTAATCCATTGAATTTCTTTGCTCGTTAACCTTGAAAACCCGATCGATTTCGTCGATCTTACCCTCTTTGAAGATTTTTGCTTACGTAAACTCATTGGCCCGTATCACAGACTCAAAGCTTCGTGTATTTTACGAATGAATGTGTGATTGTGTTTTACTGATATTCTCATAGCAGATTAAGTGGTCCCCTGTAGCATTTCTCATTTACACAGTTGAGTTTGGTTACGTCTATGTTGGACGTGACAAATTTATTACATTTCTGAAGTCTTACGTAATCAGGTCTTTCGGCAATGCCCTGAACTGGAAAACCTGAGTTTGGTTACGTCTGTGTTGGACGTGACAACTTTATTACATTTCTGAAGTCTTAGGTAATCATGTCTTTCGGCAATGCCCTGAACTGGAAAACGGTTTTACAGAAAACACCGGCTTGAAGTCTTCATTTGTATCCCTTTCATGATTTCTACTCACTTTAATATGCTTCCACTTAAAAACATGCTAATATGATCAATGGTTGGCATTTCAGTATCACTCATTTGGTTTTCTCAAGTCTTAAATTTCAGGATCAGGAAATTAATTATTTCATTTTTGACTCGTTTTGCGGTATTTGTAGTATTTTGGTTTTGCATTCACTTGTTGACGCCTGGGTCAAAGACTTGTGACTTTACAGCTCAACCTTTGTGCTCAGACCCACACACAAATACGTAAGCTACAAAAACCAATCTCCTCAATGTCAAAATTTGGTTGATTTTAATTGTGTCTATTGGATTTTTTAATACGCTGGGTAATCCAAATTGCTACAGGAGTCGAAGAGTTTAAATTTTCTGACTGATTTTGTTCTACCTGTGTCCTGGTGCCTTATCAGGTGTGACATTTACGATGTTCTTTGAGGCAACAGTTTACTGAATTCTGTTTCCTGCCTTATCAAGCACCAAAACCTTTGCTTTCTCCAAGTTTATCATTTGCTCTTGGTTTTTGAAAAAGATCGCTGGCTTTGCTGAAGCAGGCGCAAAAATTCTAACTCGCACCATACTTGTGAGCTTTCAGTGCACTGCTACCTAAACACAATTTCTTCATTCGAATCATTTCACTGTAATCCATTCAGTTGAGCTAGGAAAATCCTAAACTATTAGTTTACTCCAAATATATCCTACGTTAAGTACATTTGCTTGCATTTCCATATGTTGAAAACAATGTTGTCGTACCGCTACGGACTCTGGCTCCACCGTTTTCATGCTCTTTATCAGCTTATTTTAGAGCTCTTAATGCTTTTATAATGTTTGATAAAATAACTTTCCAGCAAAACTGATCCATCATAGTGATTTTCCTTTTTTCTAAAATTACATACAACATTCCCATCACGACCCATTACAGACAGCGGATACTTTAGTTTCGGTTCTAATTCTCGTTTCGCCATGACTAGCAACCTGGCCGATATTACAATTTGAGTGCTTTTGAAATGCCCAATTGATCGTGTGGGTAAATTTCTATCAACAATACATGAAATCTGTCGCGGCACTCATACTGTCTTGTTCGCCTGCGTGTCCAAAGTAAATCATTGAAAAGTTCACCTCAAGGTTGGCAGTGAACCTGGAATTCACGGCTCAGTACTCAGAGGGTTGACTAAGCTTAGACTTCCTAGCTCTTGATTGTCTGTGTTACCTTCAGTTTCCGAGTTCAGCCACTTACGACGGCTCACAAATTGTAATAAGAGATATTTTGTTTAGCGGAAAGTACCCAACAGCAGTCTAGACCCCAAAACCGTCAACCTCTCACAAATATTTTCTTCATTATCAATGAATTTGACGACCCAAACGAGCTTTTTGTTCCGCTTGTTTCTGTTTTTTCATAGGCGTGGTCCAAAAGAGAGTACGATATGTAGACATCGTATTTCAGCCACGATCAGCTACGTAAACTTACTGTCAAAAAATAAACAAAACGTGCTGTCAGTTCTAGGCAACTCTGCTTATGCTGAGTAAAACACCCGTTCTGAGTACCAAGATCTGAAGGTTGGATAAGAATGGTCACCGCTTCTGAGGTTCTATCACCGAGTTGTATCAAGATGCATTCCCCTGTTGTAGCCCGACTGATGCAAACTGCCAGGCGCGGTTGGACAAAAACCCATTTGCCGCAGCCTGGTACTATAGCGGGCGTCAGGCTCCAGAGAGAACTCCTACAACCAGTTCAGATTACGAACCCCAGGGAGGGTAAATGAGTGAAAGGGTTTCTTCTGTGGCGTTGGGGCCTTTTCCCTTATTTGGGCTATGTGAAAATAATGCCTTACTAAGGGTAATTAATGCGTAATTGGGCAGTCTTTTTTGTCGCACAATGGTTGACTTAACTCAGTATATTCAATGCCGCCAGGTTACTAGAGGGAAAAAGTATTCGGGAGATTTTCTCGCTATTCCCGCTTATTGGACACAACCTTATTTGCGCCTTATACATGCACATTTCATCAATTTAACCATATCCCATTAATTATATTGTTCATGTCCCCCTATTAGTTGAGAACAGGAGACAGAAGCTCACGTCAGCTTCTTCAATTCCCGAAGAAAAAAAGTCGATTCCGAATTATTTAGAGTCCGGTTTAGTTGATAATCTGGCCCAGTAGTACTCAGAGGACGTGAATATGTCTTCTTAATCCTATACCCTATCCACGACAGTTACCGAAATGAAAATGTTCAGTTTTCATGTTCTTCATCTGTGTCTTTACTGAATCAGGAAATTATGGGGAGTTCTTATATCACAGTAGACATTCTCAGTGAAAGAATATCACTGTGATAATATTAACACAACCTTTCGATTTTTCATTCTTGTGATCTATGATAAGTTCATGAAAGTTTCCGTAGGATTTTGACAAACATAACCATATGTTCGTATATGTGCACTTCATCAGTGTTTATAACCGGCATTCTTTACTTAATCTCATGTGATCTTCTCTGTTTCTCCATGCACACGGTGCGAGTGTTTTCTACAAGTCAGTGATACACAAATAGTCATCCAGCAACTGTGTGTGAATATGTAATAGTATACGACATATTTATTGTAAAAATGTGAGATTGCGAACATTTTCCCAGCTCTAAAGCACATCACTTTATCTTCAATAAACGCATGAAGACGGATCGGAAGTACACGACATTCTGCAAGTCACACTTCTTGCTTGAAAACTCCTTCACTGGATACAATACAATTAAATACAACATTTGTAAAATGTCCTTAGGCCCTTCTTCATCATATCTCGTAGAATTACCCTGGAAAAAGTTTTATGTGAATGGAGATGCGAATTTCAGACAAAATATGTACTCGTAACCAAGACACTCATCGAGCTACCTAGCCACTGTAAACTTTGATTTAGCGATATTCAGCGAATTCCAAACTGACTTGGAGAACGATAAGTTACCAAAAGGCTTACATGAGGAGCCCACATTCTGCAGCCCTGTTTCCCTAAGAGTCGTGATTAAAACGCCGCGTCCGTGTGCGTTTTTCAAGGTTGTTGTTTTCAGCGGAATCAAACGCGAAGAATATATTTTGTTCTTGGGGGCAGACAAACTAGTAAATCTCAAAAAGAAGGTCTCCACTCCAAATTCTTTCCTTTAGGCTCGGTACTAGAATGGTCATAACGCATTACATGTGTAATCACGACTAGCCAGGTACAGAATAAAAACAAATATATGGTCGCGTATAGCAAATTATAGACATTCGAAGGCTTGTAAAGGACGGGAAACGTTTCCAACCATTAATCGACCCAAACCATGCCGGCAAACTCAGCAGACCAATCGCAGAACTTGAGTGGCCGGTAGCTTCGGAATCGAAAAAACTCCGCGAAGGGCACGTTTTAACGAGTGATGGTACTTTTTCGGAAAAAACCTGAGAGAAACACGCTTCCTACAGACAAAAACCGATTTCAAATGCAAAACTAAGGGAGCAAAAAGCGTTAACTAACATGATTCTGAGACGGCACAGCGTCTTCATCACTGACGTTCTGTTCATCGTTCCTCTGTTTTTCTTGCAGGTAGCACCATCTGCGGCCACGCCGAGTTCCAAGGACTCGCGGCATACCGCAGATGAAGAACGCACCGACGACCTTGAAAAACAGAGTATTTGAAACCGGGCCATCAGGTTGGTGAGTAAAACAACACCATTCGGCCTTGAAAAACAGAAAATTTTTAACCGGGTCATCAGATTGGTGAGTAAAACGACACCAAACTGAAAGACTCATTGATGGTGTCCCCAGGATGTATACCGATGACAGAAGCTTTCTTCCGGGCTTACTCACTTCCGAGTTATCCTAAAAGAATGGCTGCTTGTTGCTGGTCCTATACAGCGGAAAATTCATGAATGGAATGATGCCTGACATCCCGAAGTGGCGGTCAAAATTCGGACGGATTCATGGATTGATACGCAGGATCGAGGCTATTGCCCAAGTTTCCCGGGTCGGTTTTGTTCTTGTCGGTCAGTGGCTGTCGTTCACCTGAAAGGCACAAGTGAAAAAAGGGTGTAGCACTGCTCTTTATGTTCTCAGCATGGGGAGTATGCTTGCCAGCGCGAGGGTGGTGTCCGAGAGGGCAATCGGGATTGGTAGGGCCGCACGTAAGTACAGAGCAACCCCACCAGCCTTCCCTCGTGTTGGGCCAGCTCGGAAAATAGAGTAACCGTCTATCGAGATCTCCGCGTCAGAGATATCTGGTGTGAGCCAGGTCTCTGTGAGTGCGATTATGGACGGTTGTTTGAGGCAAGCTGACTGTTTAACATCGCCGAGTTTGTTGAAAAGCCTGTTGCGGTTTGTGGACAAGCATTTCAACACTGTCTCTGCCGGCTCAAAAGTGTCTCGTTTTCGTTTCAAAATTGCGGCATGCGTTTCATGTACAAGCCAGTATTCTGATTGGTTACTTGTGCACATGCCAGAAAGCGCGGACCTTTGAATTAAGGTCATGCACAAGCCAGGTAGTTTTGACTCACATGGGTTTAAATTTACCGAGAAGCACTAGTGCTGAGTGCCATGTATCTATCAGATTATTCATTACGATTTTCCTAAAACTAGTTCGGTGTATAAGAAACAAAAACTCAGTGTCAACTCACCACAAAGCGGAACGCGTATGTCATCATTTTATGTTAAGGTGCTTAAGGAACGCACTTTTGTTTCAACATACACACGGAAACCTTTGCTTGGGGTCACAATCGCTTCTTCGGTGCACTTGGCGTGGCTTTCCTGCGTCATTTCCACGGAATGAGCGTCTTGTCACTCTACAGTTGGTCGCCACGATTGAACGGCAGTTGGCACCTTACGTTCGTGCAACATCGTTTTAAGCTCCGTTTTGGGAACCATAATTTCCCTTTTTTGCCGAAAATTTTCCCACATTAATGTATTTTGCATGACGTGCATTTCGTCTCGTATGCGACATTCCTTATGGCTAAAGCGTTAAAGATGCCCGCCGGATGACTGAAACGTACTTTTCGACAACAGTGTCTCGTGTCCCCTACCTCCAAATTAAAAATTTAGCGAATCGTCCCGCAAAGTAAGTACATGCCAACGGTATAATGCATCTTCTTCAGAGGTGAGTAAACGGAGCGCATAATAGCTAACCGCAAGCAGTAGTCCAGATGTCTATTTTACGGAAAATAATCTTTTTATGGTCCGACAGCTTAAAAGACATTGCAACTTTGTCAGTGCACCGAAACGAAACTGACTGGGTTCCCGCTCCGACGATTTAATAATGGGTTGGAGCTTTCCCATCCCTAGGACGCCCCCCCGGTGGTGTTTTCCCCTTGACCACAGCTGAACGCCTTTGTTTACGGAACTTGGGGATTCGAATCGAAGGAGCAACGGACTTGTTAGTCGAAGACTTTGGCAGCAGCGGCCCGGGCCGATTAATATTGGGGGCCCTAATTTCGGAGAAGCTGCGCAAAATTACCTGCTGCATCCCCACACTACCTGCTAGCTCGTCAGTACGTTTATCCAACCTTGTTGTTTCAGCCTTGAAACTATCACCGCCTAGATTTAACAAAACTTCCAGAGAGGTATAAACAGCCCTATAGCCAATGGTTAGTTTGGAACCTTCATCCAAGCGAACCTCACTGTGTTCTGCTGTGGACGATGAAGCTTGGTTGCCAGGTGGTCCTGTTACGAAGCTGGGTATACGCCAGCGACTTGTGTTCAAGTGCACAGGCAAACCACACTGCTTAACCCGGTAAGCATCCACCACGTGACAACAGGTTGACAGCCGCAGCAGATTACAAGATATCAACGCGGCCAACGATTTCAAGTGTGGTAACAAGATTATCGCAGCACCCTGAAAATGGAAGCAGTTTCAACAAATCTGGCTGGATAGGGCGAGATTGGAGGTCATCACATGAACACGTATCTATAGAAGCGTGCAGAATTAGCATTGCTTCAGGTTTTATGTGTAAAAACCAGGTCAAATATATTAATAATAATACTAACGTTTGTCCCCAACTTGTGGGTAGCCCACCGTATGGCATGATCATGGATTTACAGTCGAAATAATGCATGGATGGTGGTTTGTGGGTAGTGAGTCTCCGCAAGGAAAGCAATATCATCAACAGTGAACAATATATGGTGCAATAATAAAAATACGTTTATTTCACAACCTGTAGGGAACAATGGGCATGAGGTCTGGCTAGTTCACATATGAAACTGGTTGTCATGAGCTATAGCTGAAAACCTATGCTGGCCAGGATTGACCAGGGTGGTTGAGCAAATATTCAGTGTCACAACAATGGAAAATGCTTGTCTAGCCGTTGATATCAAAGAAGAAGACTTGATGAACCCAAAAAGCTTACAAATTGCTAAACACCACACGGGCCAGTTAAATGTGCGGAAAATGGTGCCATCCATGTGTGTAGTGGCCAACAATTACGGCCGGTCCAAGCAACATCCACAAAGCCAGGGCAAAAGCTTCACAGCATGTTGGCACTGAACCAGTGCCTGTGAAGTTAGAGACGAGGCCCCTTGGAATGTCCTTTAATCATAGCGTAAACTCTAAATTCCTGGCCTCGTTTCAACCCATGTGCGCTGTTGCCCACCTTCTCCCTTATCTGCAATCATGATTCAACTTTTCACATGGACTCAGGCATCTGCATAGCTCATTCCTTCCAATCTGCCGAGCTTTCCATTCGGATCCGCACACCTCCGTGACAAGCACTATATGCTCTTCGCAAGGTAAGCCATTTAATATACGGTTCCTGTCCGGTCTTGTGCGTTAGCATTGACTCCCTTTCACAGGGACCTTTTACACAAGACTCCACAACAGCGGCGACACCAGTGAGTCTGCAATTCTACTGTACACAGGATTCCGATATTCCTGCTACCATTTATATACATTGCCAATCCCTCCGACGAACCATCCCCACTCACGCTTTTTGTCACCCTGACCTTAGGCCCAACAGTCCAAGGCTACGAGGCCTTAATGGTTGTTCGCGGTTGTAGTTCGAGTGGACCGCTTGGATTACTCCAATCCGCTTTTTCACTAGACCCGTTGTTCTGGCTCCTTATTTCCCAAAATCTGCCCCTTTACTGTTGTGTCAGGCAGGACGCCTCCTGTTTCCCCCTCTTGCTTTGTTATTGCTCGCCACTTTCAAATTCTGATCTTACTTCAGCTCCATATCCTCACCAAAAGATAAAAGAAGTATTAACTCTGCTTCTCTGTCCGTGGCAGTTTATGGCTGACCACGTCAGCATTGGATGATGCCCACTGTTTATGACGCGGTCAATTTTCCACACAACCCCCGTACTCGCACATATCGATAGTCATTCTTTTATTCTAACTTTACCATTATGATCGTGCCTAAGGGTGTACCACTCAAAGTTGGAGATAAACATCATCATCATTATTAAACTTTTTTCACCAGGTCCCACTGATCTCATTCAACTTCCTCATGTTCCTAAGCTTTGATCTTTGGCGGTATCTGGTCGCTATCCACCCCACCTGATCCGGGCCTTACATTTAAAGAAATCTCCGAATGGACCCAAAATGTCTAAAATTTTACGTCGAATTTGTTTTACCCATGGATCCCGTTGGCCAACCGCAAAATTGTGCATCAACAGTCGGATCAGCCCAAACATTCTCTCCGTTACAGGGCTGTCTGGATACCGAGGTATGTCGGTGCGATGATGGCGAGATACTACCATACCAAGCCAGATTGCATATTCCCAACTGTGCCCTTCCCACTTCCAAGTGTGCTCTTTCCGTTACAAGAAACCATGAACGAGTTTCTCACATGGTACTAGATGCCTCTGATACGAGTTCGGTCCAATCAACTGAACCTTTTGTTCGCATACAGCAATCTCGTTAGTGTCAGAATGTGCTCCGCATTAAGCCAAACATTATTTTTACGGCTTCTGATTCGTCCTGTGCGACAGCACTAGCATCCCCTCCTTGAAAGATTTTATGCCCCACTCGACTCTGACAGCGACACCAGTGAGTTTACACAATTTCGACGTACGCCGTGATTCTGAGATTTCAGCTACCGTTTACCTGTGTTGNGTACTAGATGCCTCTG